AATCCCCTGAACCCTAAACACCTAAACCCCTAAACCCCTAAACCCCTAAACCCTAAACCCTAAACCCCTAACCCCTAACCCTAAACCCTAAACCCCCAAAGCCCTGAACTCTGCACCTGAAGGTCATGTCTCGAACATCAAAGCCACCTTTCAGGGCCTCGTTGTTCCTGCCAGCTTCCGGTCTTTGAAGGGGTTGAGGGTTTTGGGAGTGGAGGGTGGGTACCCTTAAAGGAATTATAGGGGTTTTAGAAGGATTATATAGGGACATTTAGGGTTTAGGGTTTGGGGCTTGGGGTGTAAGATCTAGGGCTTGGGATTTTGTTGGACGCAATTTTCGGTTGACGGCTAGAACGATGTTAGGCTTAGAATCTGTTGGCTGGACTATATCGGGGACTATAGGAACTATCGAAGATTACGGCAAGGACTGTTGGGCAGGATGTCTGAACGACTTTGCATCTACTACCACACCAGCACCAGCACCAGCACCAGCACCAGCACCAGCACCAGCACCAGCACCAGCACCAGCACCAGCACCAGCACCACCATCAGCACCACCACCAGCACCACCACCAGCACCAGCACCACCATCCCTAAATCCTAAACCCTAAACCACTGCGTACTGATAAAAAAAACTAAAAGACTATTACTAAAAGATGGAATCAAAAGCTAGGCCCAGGCCTAGGATCTCCGTCCGCGAAACGGTCCTGGCATGAGATGGGCTACACTTGAAACTTAGGAAAAATGAGGATTTGTGGCGGATTAGGGTTTTGGTTTTAGGGCCTAGGGTTGAGGGTTTAGGGCTTACAGTTTCGGGCTACGTAGGGGCTACACTTGGAGCTTAGGGGTCCCAAAGATACGTACGCTGTAGAGATTGTGTTGCACACGTAGTCGCAATTCCTCCATGCACCGTGGGCGGATCCCGTTTGTGACTTTGTGCTACTACTGCTGTATTGGATGCATTGCTCCATGCAACCCTATTTAGTCCGACATGATTCTGTGTAACACCATAATCTCATATGACCATACAACCTTGCATAACCCTCTTTATCCTGCTGTTAGGAAGCTTGAACGAAATTATCACAGTAAGGAAACTATGTTCTCTACTCTCTGTCCACATTGTGGGATTTCCCGTAAAAATCGGATACCCTTTTTCCTTGACATATGCGCCCTGCGCAGTATATGATGCAGAAGAAACCCTGCTTCAAGACACCACAAGCCCATCTAGCTCATGAAGGAATGTGGCGACTTTAGTGGATTTGGGGGGTCCCTATGCCCATCGTAGGGACCCCATACTCTGCAAGCGTATGTCATACGTAGGGACTCTAACATAATTTTCCAAGCAATGAAGGCTTACGGCTGATTGTAAGCTGAGCATATGATATCTACACTATACGCTAATTTAGTGGACTTAGAACTCACTCGAGAGCACCCATGGAACTATAAGTAAGGGCAGGCAGCATCAGGTCTGATGGACCTAGGGCTCTGGCTGTTACCAATTGGTAAATGGACAATGCTCTCCAGTCCGTAGGCGACGGAAAGTACGTGTGACCTTAGCTGGCAGAAGGCTTAGGGCTCAGGACCTAGTCAAAGGAACATATTGGAGGGCCCTATGACGTTGTTATAGAACTTGCTCCCAGAAGCTTGGGAAGCGAGCTTCGTACACCGCTTACAGGGGAGGTATTTGGGGATCTCCTAAGATTAGGGGTGCCTTTCTGGGGGTCCCATTATAAGGATTTTCATATATTGGGGTCTCTATTGGGGTCCCCTTATTTTGGGAAACTACCATTTGCACATGGGCATACCTCTTGCACAGACAGCTTGACCATGCAGGACCGTCCCTCTGAGATGCTCTGACATTGGAATGCCCAAGACTCATACGGAAGATAGGTTATATTGGGGTTATACTGGGGTCATATTGATGAAAAAATGGAAACTACTATATAATAGGGTGTACATAGAGGTAATGTGAAAATTCTGGAGGTCTCTCTTGGGGATTCTCGCATGGCATCATCCTTTTGTCTCTTCCGGCTGCAGCTGTACACTGTACGCAAGCCAAACCAGCCCTGAGGCTGGACATCCGCTGCCCGGCGCGTGCTCGGGAACGACGGAACGGATGGGGTTCTAGGGTTTCGGGGAAAACAGAATCTACTAAAGGGCTTAGGCATCAGGGTCTTGCGTTATAACAGGGGAAAGAAGGAATCGACAGAGAATTGTAAGTACTTTTCCGTTTGAGAGTCCACTGCAGCAGTTTCCAATTTCTTTTCCCTATAATATTCCCATACAACCCCTATACACCTAGTTTCCATTTAGTTGTCCATTTGGTTTTCCTCTAGAGTAGGTTCCATTTTTTCCACTCCTGAACCCAAAACACTAAATAGTAGTTTCCACTTTCCTGTCCATTCCTAAACCCTACATCTCAAACAGTAGTTTACGTTTTCTTTCCCATTGTCCCCATATAACTCATATAACCCGAATATTACCCAATATAATCCTAAACCCTAAACCCAATATAACCCAAATGTTGCCCCAAAATATAGGCCACTGTCTAAACTCCTAGTATCCCCCTTAATACCCCCTATAGTAATCCCCTATATAATCCCCCAAATAACCCCCTTTAAGGAGTTTAGACGGTAGCTCATATAAGCTAGCATGAGAAACCCATCGCTCCCTCCCTCGGACAGACCAAAGGGTAGATGAGACAAGTGCACATTCCCAAGTGAGTAGCTTTTTTTTTGGGTGGTTGAACCTGGTAAGATTATATTCCTTATGTAAAATACTATACCCCAAAAGGAGGATAGAATCTTACTCTATAGTGAGTATCAGAGTCTCCCCAAATAAAATACTACTCAAGTGAGCTAGAGTCTAAACTCCTAGTATCTACCT